CTCAAGCAATAGCCTCTATTACTTACGCCCAATACAATCTCTCTCCATATCTGCCGCCCTTTGCTGACTGAGCGAGCTTCACGCACTCACGACGCATCATCTTGAATCTCTCCTGCAATCACGCTTGACTACACCCACAACAAAAGAGAGGCAAAACAAGCTCAGCGTATAGTGGCGAGTGATTACCATGTCAAGCGGCCCCACCGGAGCCCCAAGCACGCTTACGTACAATACACTTACTACCCGCATGCGTATAACCTCCGCGGCTTGTCCGAAACAATCTCGACGTCTGATTGCCCATTCCCCCCAACCCAATCTAGATAATATGCCTTCTATGCACGCAATGTCGAATCTCGATGGCTTACTTGCAGCACAAGCATGACCATCATCCTTCCCGTCATCACCCATCTTCCACAATCTGATCTGGCCCCGAGAGCTCATCCAGCTCCACTCTCGTATCATTCGTCGTTGCACACGCTGACAAATCTTTTGCCTTGAAATGATCCGACCACGCGGGTACCGAAAGACAGATAACTCCACTACTTTACGCCCGGAGTTCCGGAGCCCGCGGCGTCGTCACCTTTGTCCTTCGTATCTGCGTACTTTTATCCTGAAACATAGTGCAATACACCAAGGAGGAAACCAAACAAGTTACAATTTGTGTTCCGTTCTCTTGGAAACCCCATTTTCTTCTCGCAACGTTGCAAGACGCAAAGACGCAAATCCGGCGCGTCTGCAGGTGTGACCAATACCGCGATTTCCCCCAATACGTACCTACACCGATCATTTAGGACACATACAATCCTCCTTTCTGTCCCCTTTGTTTCACAATCCAAACCCAGCCCCCCAATCGCACGAAAATACCGGAAGACAGATATGTATATCCATCTAACCTCCCCCCAATCCCGGAAGATACTTTTTTTCAAAATAAATAAATAATGATAACAATCACGAGTCATGTCACCCGTCGCGCAAGTAACCCTGAATAGAATATCCCTACTTACCTCGTGAAGAAGAAAAAATGATCTGATGTTTTTATCAAATACGAGATGATCTGCCTTTTAGCTATCTTCCGGTACAAAGCAAGTGGCTGACATGTCACAGGGAGAGAGAGAGAGAAAGGACCCCTTCCCCGGTCCAGATACGTATACTTACTTCAAGGTACATGAGTAATTGCCCCCCCCCTCCCCACTCTTTCCCTATTTCCCGCAAGGTAAACAAAATACACCATGTACCGAGATGTTGTTTTTCTTACCCCACAATCACATCATGAGAATCAGACTTCATGTGGGGGGGGGGGGGGGAATACATACATCTACGTCTCCCTGAGGAAATGGCAAACGGGGCAAACCGTACGAAATACGATTGCAAGTTTTTTTATTTGGCTTTGGGAGAGAAAAGAAAGGGAAGCAAAGTTGGTCGTGGGAATTTCAAGTGGTAACTATCATCTCTGTAGTGAAGAAAAAAAACAAAGTTTTGTTTTTTTGGGGGGATCCCCCCCCCACCCCCCATTTACGACTTCGGTTCTTTCTCTCCACACACACACACACACACACTTGGTCATCTTATTTCCCGACGAACGAACCCCCCAAAAAAAAGAAAGAGAAAGAGAAAGACCATATAGTAGACACTCGTATACGCATTCCCCATGTACCAAAGAAAAAACAAAACTTTCCCAATAAATAACCCTCTTTCCCTTCATCTACCCCCACAAAAAAGAATGATAAACATCCCCACCCCCCTTGTATACTTTTTTCCCCAGTCCCCCTTCACCACGCAAACATACACTTTGTATTCAACAACCTCGCCCCAAGCATATCATACTCATACCGACTAATCCACCCATCATTTCCATGACTACTCAACCGCCCAAACACGCTTCCCCCCTTCCACACCACAACCTGGGGATCAAAATCGCGCGGCGGGGGCCCCACCAGAATTTCCTTGCCGTACCCCGGCCGCAGCTCACGGAGCCGCATTTCCAGAAACTCGCGTAGGCCGGGCGTCTTGGACGCACCGCCAACAAGCATGATGCCGCCGAAGAAGTCGCGGAGTTTGCGGTCGTCGCCCCGGGCGCCGTGGGCAAGGGATTCGAGGATGGCGTGGTCGAGGGCCTGGATGGGGAGGATGGCGTCGCGGGCTTCGGCTACCTTGGTCTTTTCGTCAATCGGGTCGCGGACGAGTAACGGGGGACCGTCGCCGTCGCCCATGGGCGTGTCGCGGTCGGGATTGGGTGTGTTGGCGCCTTCGGGGCCGGGCGAGCCTGCTACGGAGGACCGCGGCGTGTTTTCGCCTTCGTTTAGCCGGTTGAGGAGGCTTAGGGCGTTGGCTTGCGGGCGCTGGGGGGTTGATACGGGGGCGCTGGTGTTTACTGCTTCCGGGGCGCCGTTGCTGACTGGCACGACGGGTTTGCCTGCTGCGGCTTCGATGACGGCAATTTGGGCTTGGGACATGGGGTCGTTTGGTAACCCGTCGTATAGGTCGACCGAACGAGGCACCACTTTTCTTCGGTTCTCGAGTTTCCGGGAGTTGTCGAATATTGATGGTTTGAAGAAACCCTGTGCATATCAGTAAACGTACCGTGCTTACATGTCCATTTGTTACTTACCATTACCGAGAGCATAGTCTCATCGTACGTCTTAAACGTATACTTGCGTGTGTCCTGGTTCCAGGCTCGGAGATGAAAGTCCCACGTCTGCACTGTGACCGCACCTTCGTCCATGGAACAGAACTTTTGCTTTAGCTCTTCAGCAAGCAGCCAGTCGTATCTCCGCTTCAGATTCATATCCGCATACGGAAAGTGGCCGTACAGCATCATCTTGATAAACGTCTCCGTCACGTCGGCACCGCCCATCTTCAAGTTGACGCGCGACTCCTCGGCACACAGCCCTTCGTCAACACAGCAGATCGATGTCTTCTGAGCACCGATATCAACAACGCACGCGACACCATAACCCGCGCCGAATGTGGCCGAGAGAGACTCTTGCTGTAGACAAACCTTTCCAAGGCCAAGGTCTCGCATCAGGATATCAAGAATCATGGTTACATACTGTCGTTCGTACAGATCTGGGATAATGAACACACACTTGTAGTTAACAAGGTCCTTCAGCTTTGTAATCCCTAGCTGGCTCCGGAAGGCCTCCTCGAATATCTTGGAAATGTCGTGGTAGATTTGATTGCGATCGCGGTAATCTTTCTCGTTGAAGGTACCATTCCGTATCGGCCAGAACAGCTTGTACCTTGGATTCGACTTCTCCGGAATTCGTAGTGCCTCGCTTCCAGTGAAGAAATCTGGTGCCTTGGTTGGGTCTGCTGGTATCTCTGTCCACTCGACGCGGTTGATGTCGTTGTGCTCTGAGATGATATCTGGGGGTGACTTCTTGTTGTAGTTTTGGACCAAGTCCTTAGAATTAGGAAGTACTCGTCGCTTGTTGGCGCGCATGCGTGTCCTGAGTTCAGTCGACATGGTCATATACTGATCGGCGAACTGTACTGCATGTCAGTAAATGTAGAACAGGGCCCATCGGGTAACTCACGTCTTCTCCAAACCACTTCTCTGGTTGCGCATCCGTGGATTCAGATGCATCGACCTTGATCCTCTTAGGGCAAGGTTCTCCGTCATCCTCCTCGTCCTCACTCTCTTTCCATTTCCGCGCAATGACCATGGGCACAGTCTTGGGCAATGCATCTGATCCAAGCCCTATCCTCAGGTTCTGACTACCAGGGTGTATTACAATGAGCTTCGAGATGTCAGTCCTCGATGCAAACGAGGCCTCGGCATCTTCCATTGTCTCGTCTGCAGCTTGTGGGGTCGCTCCTTCTGCTGCTGGCACACCCAACGCGCGTGCGCGATCCTTGTCCCGCGCTTCCTGGACTATGCGGGCTCTCTCCTCGTCTTTCGGATATCGCACGGCGAGGAACTGCTCGTCTCTTTTCAGGAACTCGGTATAGTAATTCTTCTGGTTGATCATGCCGACTTGCGGCCACGTCGTGAGATCCATATTGTTATCTGTTCGCTCCAGCCCTATAACATGTTAGCCATCATATCGATTCGAAGTATGTTGGTGCCGTACCTTCTTCCCTCGCCTGGGCCCTGCCTGACTTCTTAACAGCCATCTTTTCTGAGACGCTGTTTGTGCTTGGTTGGGACCTTCAATGCAAGCCTATGGCAATCACAAACAAAACCCGAGGTCAAGCAAATCGACGTTTATCCTCCGGGGAGAGCTGCGAAATCGCTATGGTGTTTCTCGTAGAGGTAAGGCGCGCTATTGGGCTAAGCTGTAATAACTCTTGGATACAGTATGCCGCGCTGTGCCTTCAAAAGGCGGTATGTGAGAGGTGATAGCGACTGTGGACTTGGTCGATGGGCGTGGTCTCGTAGCAGAAGATGATGCTGCTTGAAGGTAATGTCCGCAATTGGTGGCAAACGTCAGTTGAAGAGCACAATCAGACTGCGGGGTGCTTTGCTCTATTATGTTAGTGAACAGTTGTGAAGCCGCGTGAGAGAACGGCTTTGGCGTTCGCCGTGGTTGCGGCGCGCTTGTCCCGTGATTGGATCGCGAGTCCGCAACTTCGGTTCCACGACCCTTGTTACGAAGCTATGACCATACAACTACAGTGCGCGGGGTGATTCGTACCGCATCCAGCCTTGCCTCCCAGCCCTCATGGTTTACCAATAACAATATTTGTATATCGATTGACTCACCCGGTATTGTTCTTGGGACAGGCTACCTGATGTAAAAGTACGACTGCTGGGAACAACAAGCATAATCACACGAAGTTATGCACTTGAAACCATGACGGGCGTCTGGGACATTCTTGCATACTTTGAGAGTCCGTTTTGATTTCTGCAGAATCTCCCATGGGCTGCATTACAGTACAGACCATGATACCCATAACGCCATGATACATTCAGCCCCGAACCCGTCACATCTGGTCAAGACCTTGTCCTGAGCAAAAGTTTGGCTGCCGAGTTGCTGGGGACAATAAACACATGCTGCTCAGAACATGAAAGCAGTGGCCACCATACCGAGAAATAGCGCAACGAAAGAGATGCTATTCTCGCCAGCCATACCTGTGCTGGCAGTCTTCATGACGTAATAGACGCCATTTTCATCAGCCATGCCGGTCTCAGTTGTGACTCCAGAGGCAGTGGTGGTGACAGTCGTGGCAGACTCAACCTGCCTGATGACGTTCAAACTGGGGAAGTTATATCCAATGCCAGACGATGTGTTATTAGTGGTTGAATGTGGATAGTAGGCGGCTGAAGCAGTAGTAGTAGTCGAGGGGATGTAGGCAGTCGAAGACAAGTTAGTGGGTGCGTGGGTGGAGACCAAGTCGAAAGAGGTGAAGTTCATGACTAGGGAGGTCAAGTTGAAGACTGGAGATGCCCTCGCCCCGGTAGCTGTCGGATAACTCGTGGTGGACACATTCTTGAACTCAGACCATGTTGGCTTGATGGGGAACGGTGGCTTGAGCTCAGACAGCGGGATTGCTGTAAAGGTAGCAGTGATAGTGGCCGGTGGTGGGAGGATTGAAGGCGTCGTAGTAGTTCTAACTTTGACGACCTTCTCTGTAACTGTGACTTGCGTTGTTGACTGGATTGTCGTAGTTGTGGTAAGTTCATCGCAAGCAGAGACAGGAAGGCTAGCCTGACCAGAAGATGGTGCATGGATGGCGCTGCCAGTCACAGTACGAGTAATAGTCGATGTGATAGTGACCGTGGCAGTCGGGCCCTGAGTCTCGGGGCACAGATAGGTGAGAATCGTCTGGCCGCCATGGAGCAGCACCGTATCTGTGCAGAGCTTGGGTAACTTGCTACAGCCTTCGTCACGAGCAGCCACTGCTCCAACCGGGGCGGGCTCCACGAGGTGGCCCTCCAGGCCAGTCTGGAAAGCAGCTACTACTATCTGTGTGTCAGTCTTTTACGAGACGCCGCAGGAACACTTTCTAAACATGAACAAGTGCGGAGGGACCTACCGGAAACCGCGAAGAAGGCAATGGCGCGCATGGCGTGCATGTTTCTAGCGAGGTTGGTCTTGAAGACGGTGTGAGAATGAACGATTATGGGCAGTAAAGACGGTATTATCAATCACGAAGTTGAAGGAGCGTAGTGTGGTGAGGTGAGAGAAACCTTGCGGGGTAGACGACAGTAAACAGTGCCACGGTGAAATGAGCAAAGGACTAGACCTGCGTCTTGCAAACGGCCAGTGACCAATAAGAGCGAAGCCTGTCATCGAATTTTGGAGATCGAGGCTCGTGAGCATTTGCTCTATGCTTGGTGACTGGTTCTCACTGCTCTTGCCTGTTTAGTAAGACGAATGCATCTGGTAAACAACGAACGCCAAGACAGTGTTGCCAGTGCCCAATCAAGGCAGTGGCGACAGAGTAGTCGTATACCAATACTCCTTACTTTTCCTATCCACTGACCGTATATATCGTGGCTTCTCGGTGTTAAGAGAGTGTGGCTTATAGGAATGTTATCGTATTACTTCATTACCCAAAAATGAACCTTGTATACGCGGGCACGTCGACCAACATACAAATGCATACATACAAGCTAATTGTAATGGACCCAAAAATAGGTAATACGTTCAAAATTAAGTTAATTACTAGGAGCACAACATCGACCATTAACCAGACTCAAGAAAAACTCCTTCTGCCTCATACGTTAAGAAAAAACCTAAGAAAATAATTCAGATTCATAACTCTATGTGTTCGCTCATAAAGAAACGGGCTTATATCTCGCGCCCTAGCAACAAAATTTGCATACTGTATATGTTTTTGAAAGAAACAAGTCCCTGCTTTCCAAGTTCTCCTAGGCTAAAATGAGAGAAAAAAAAATGATAGATGATGAAGAATGATGTCGAGGCCATGCAAGAAAGTGCGCGCTGCCATGCATGCCAAATGTCTAAACAAAACAAGATAAGCAGAAAATCAAGGAATGAAAATTTTGCTCAGTGTCTGTGGAAAAGAATGCCACTGAAGGATGGCTCGCGCTGAGCGTCCGTATGCAATCGCCAAAATGTCGGGAAAAGTGATATATATATGTGTGTGTGTGTGTGTGTGTGTGTGTGTGGGAGCATTGTCAAGCCTGTCGACAATGTCCATGAAAAAGTTGCGCATGTCGTGGAAATACATATGTACGAGTTTGCTGAGTCAAAGGCACTTGCCTTTAGAGTCTCCAGGTACATCTTAGCCGGGTCGTCGGAAAGCCTCCACGTTCAACGTGGGCGTTTCCACCTGTCTGTTCGTCGGCACGCCTTCATTCTTCCTCCTATCGAAGAAATTCTGGCACTCATGGCTGATGAAGGTCCATTCCGCAAGCGCACGTCCAGCATAGGTACTCGACGTCACAGCAGCACCAGTAGGCGGTGTGCTAAGGACGGGCTCGAGATTGATGCCCTTCTGCATCAAGAGGTTCTGTGCTGGAAGTGGGAGGCGTGGAGGCTGGAGGCGCATGGGTTGGTATGCGCCAAAGCGCTTGTCGACCCATTCCAGAGAGAAGCGGAAATGGTATGACCGATGGGTAACTGGCGGCGGTGCCGGTGCTGGTGTTTCGGCAGCCGGAGGAGTAGAGGATGCTTCGTTGGCCGTCGTCTTGCTGGCGTTTTCCCTGTCTTTAGCGGGCCCAGGACTCTTTGATTTAGCATTCTGCTTCGAACTTCCTCCCATGAGGCTACGCAAAATGTTCCATCTGCCTTTGCCTGAATCTTCTTCTGGAAGATCAGGCGATTCTGTTGGTGGAGGAGGTGTTGGTCGAAGCTCAGCTTCCGAAATCAAGGGAGCTGGAAGAGAGGGCTTTCGCTGATGGGGGTTTTGGACCACACCGTCGAATGTGAGAAAAGGACCACTATTGGTCACAATAGGATTATCATTACGTATGATGAGAAAGCGTCGGCCTGGTGCAGGGTTGCAAGCCTGTGTCGACGGGTAAATGGTCTGTTTACGTTCAGCCTCTTCTTGAAGCCAAAGGTAGTGAGACCAGATTGACCGGAGACGGTCGCTCAAAGCGCGTTTGATCGCTCTGCGAATATGTCAGCATACATTGTAATGATGAGAGAGTCACTTTATACTCACACTTCAACTTCGGTGTCAATACCATCAAATCGAGCAACTCGCCAGCAGATCAACCGCATAAAGTAGGCACGCACCATAGGACACCAGTGGTTGAAACGGCTTTCGAAAAATTCGGGTTCCAGCAGGAATTTGAGGCAAATCTCTTCTTTTCGTTGGTCGTCCGAGGTCAGAGTTGCCCAACTGCTATAGAGGAAGGCGTACAGCCTAATCTCGGTAGCGGTGTTGTGACTAGCAGCCATAGCTTTAAACACGGTCAGCCAAAAAGGCCAGTCCATGATCGCGTGGTGATCGCTGTCGTGTTGCTCGTAGCGAACGAGAATGACAAGGGCCTCTTCAAGAAAGTCGCAAAGGGTATAACAGGCACTGTTGTTGTAAATTGAAATCTTGCGTGCTTGTGCCTGCAGAAGACGAGCAAAACTCTCGGCAAACATCTTCCTGGCAACGTGAAGATGGGCATTTCGCTCGGAAAGGAAATCGCGTATTAACATTATGATTCGGTTTTCCTGCATCATGCGGGTGGCGTTTGCTGGTGGAAGAGCGAGGTTCGAGGCAGAAGCATCAGGTTCCAGGACATCGTCAAAGGTGATTGCCGATGTGTCTTCTGGTGGCTGCTGCTGTTGCTGCGGTACAGCATTCCTGTGGATGGTTGCATCCAGATTAACCAAAAGCTGGGCATGCACCATAATCAATCCAGGTACACAAATGCGCTCCGCATTGGTAGGCTCAAGGGGTAGGAAATCGCTGACCAGAATGTGGAAGTGCTTGACAAAAACGTAAAAAAGGTCGCTCTCGGCGCCGGACCAGCGCTTTGTCCAAAGTCCATACCAGTCAATGTTGGCCATGGCGAGCGGAGGTAAAATGGGCTTGTGCAATTGACGCACGAGCCGGTTCAGGGAAAGCAACTTGAGCGGGAGAAGCATAGGCGGGAAAGATGCTGCAACTCGGTCGGATACGGAATCCAAACGATCCATCTTTGACACACCAGACTCTTCCATTACCCGTTTCATCATTTCGAGAGATGGGCTCCATAGACGCACCAAGACATCGGCAACTCCGGGGCAGAAGCAAAAAGCATATGCACATGTCTTTCCACAGAACGTAACCAGACTTGCAGCAGCATTTCGCAAAGACATTTTCTCTACGACAAAAGCCATTTGAGACTGCAGATTTTGCGTGAAGATGTTGCGTACATTGTGGTGAACAGATTCGGCGAGGAAATCGGCCGAGCTGGAGCTGGAGGCGCCTGAACTAGTCGTGGATGCAGACAGTGGCTCTTCACGGTCTGCAAGGGCACAAAAGGGCGAGGGGTGTAGTCTCCATTCGGGTCTCTCCATGATTGCAGCGATGCCCTCGAGGATAACCGGACGGTCTGTGCCAGAGATGGACTGGTTGTTCCGGCCTGCCACGAGCTCCAAGAGACCGGTCCACCAGCCATTGAGAATGTTTACGCGGCGGTCGAGATCTTCAGGCCTGAGCTTCTGGTCTATAGGGCGATGTGCATGTTGGCGAAGAAAAGGGAGGAGGGAAGTGCGAACCACGTTTGCCTTGAGGGAACTGGATTTGGATTGGAATCTATGTATTGTTAGTCTGAGTTATGTTATTGGAACAAAGGAGCCATACTTGCGCAGATCTGCATCAAGGGATCTGAATGCGTTCCATAACTCATCCTTTTTGCGGGGCTCAATCTTGATGCCTTTCAGCTTTTCAGCAGAAATGTCGCGTGGTAGTGGAGGAACCACGTGGGTGGGGCTGACTGGCGTTTGGTGCTGGGGATAATGCGGGAGCTGTTCCGTCGAAAATGACTTGGGCACTGAGGGCGAGTTGGAGGCATTGGCAGTTGCGGTGAAGAGACCACTGAGGCGCTTGTTCTTCTTGCTCAAGGGAGTTGGGATTTCCTCTTGTACAGTGTCTCTTGCCTCGGACTCTTCGGGGATACTCTCAGTGGTCGTCTGCGTCTTCTGCTTGGCTGGCTCGACGGCTGGCTGTGTCTTTTTCGGACTAGGTTCCTTTTTCTTGAGTTTCTTATCCTTGGACGGTGACGTCGACTCTCTCGGCTGTTGCTGGCCAATGACCCATGACTTCCTGCGCAGGTTTGTCAAGGAGCGCGAGGGCGAAGGCGAGGGCGAGTCTGCCTGTTTGACAGCTTCTGGTCGGCCGCGTTCTGGTTTTGGTTCTGCGGAGGGATCTCGGCTCCTAGAGGAGAAGGGCAGAAACCTTGAGGAGCGGCGGGAGGCTGGCGTCGGTCTTAGCTGAGGCATCTGCACGTCAGGCAGCTCTGGAGCATCCTCTGACGAGGGACTGGACCCATCCGAGTGGCTCTCGGAGGTCCTCTCCTCGCTCCTGGAGCGATCGGCATCATCTTCGGAGGCTCCCCTTCGCTCAGCAACAGGCGAACCCTTGTCGAGATCCTTCACCTGGGGAAAGTATGTGTACGAGGCAGCCTTTGGCAGTTGGGCACGTTCGGGTTCCTGGGGCAGCTGGAGCACGGCGTCGGAAGTGGCTCTGTTCCTGCCGCGGAAGGCATTGGTAATGGAGTAGTGGCTGCGAGGAGCCTGCGCAACGGCGATGGGCATGGCGGAATAGGGAGCGGGCGCAGCGAAGCAGTGGCTAGACAGCCCTTCTTCAATGCAAGTTGGGTACGCGTCTCGGACAGGCTACGGGCTCATGGCGGAGTGATCGGACGGGAGGCGGCGTGGTGCTGGCAAGCTGGTGTTAGGCGGGCCGTTGACAAGGCCGTTGGACGGGCTCCAATAGAGTAGCGACAGTGGTTGCGGGAGCGACGTCACAGTAGAGGCTGAGGGGCCGGGGAGGAGGGAATAGGCAGAGGCTTATTGGAGGGGGGGAGGGGGGGACAGCGGGGATGTGCAGTAGCAGGGCAGCAGGGAGGGTGAGAGTTTGAGAAACAGAAAGGCAGTTCAGCGAGTGTTCAGTATTGGGGTGAAGCTTCAGTAGCGACAGGCAGAAGATTCAGGTTTGAGATTCTGGTCCGAGCTGGGACTGCTACTGCTGGCACTAGTACATAGATAGGACGGCTACGGGGGGGGCCAGCAGGTTGATTGAGCTAGTATTGCAGCGAGTGGTGGTGGTGCTGTGCTGCTACTCTATTGCCTCGATGGTGTGCGCGCGCGCGGGTGCAGGCCCACTGGCGGGCTAGCAGGGATGCAGGGCAGATCGTGTCGGAGCGATGGTTCTATATTAAAAACGGGCGCATTTGGTCGCAGTCGTGTCATCTGCCATTCGTCTACTGATGCGCCCTGTGCCTGTGCCTGCGCCGTTTGCCTGACGTGCTCGCTCTCGCGCATTCCCCCCATGGCCCGCTTGGCCGCTGGCTGTGTCCGTCTCGTCGACGCCATTGCCGCTTCGCCGCTATGATGATTGCAATTACTTACTTACTCGCTGCCCGGCGTGAGCGCATTATAGCCAAGGGCCGTGTTGGCTATGGATCGAGGAATGAAGGTACTTAGTGACTGCACATAAGTATGATCAATAATGCTCTGCCCAGTGCACCCGCCCCCTAACAGGCCCCTACTGCTCGCCGCTGCTGCTGCTACTCGCTCTCGCTAGGCCCCAGTGGGCCCGCCGAACCATCTTGTTTTTTTGCGACGTGAACTGTGAACACTGCAATCTCTGCAGCGGCCTTGACCGCAATCTCCCTGCCCACTGCTCTGACCTGACACACTGCTTGTGGCCCTCGCGTGCCTATCGCCCGGTTTCAGCGTGAAGACATTGTTGCGTCAGCCCCGGGCGCCGCCTGTCCCTCGCCTGCGCGTCTTGCTTCGCCTACCGCTGCTGCTTCTGTTGCTGCTGCTGCTGCTGCTGCCGCTGCTACTACCGACTACTCCTGCTGGCAATGCCACATGGACATGGATACGAATACGGCTGGCTGCCATCCAGGGTCAACCCCTCAATTGGCCGTCCGTCCAAGTACGTCCGCCTTGATCCATACCATGGACATCCACTAGTCGTGCACCATGCATGCCGAAGCCCTAAGTGTACACATGCGGCAGAGCCCATCCGCTGCTGCATTCAACATTTCCGCCCTCAGGCCCACGCTTTCGCCCTGTTCCTCCGACTTTCCGACCACACTAGCCGCCAATATCGGGAATTGCTGCCTGCAAGACAGTCGGCACTGCATCCCGTGGCTTATCTGAGGGGCCGTGGTTTGCTCAATTTGTTTGGGACATGCACATGTAATGCAGCAGATCAATCGGCCTATGCTGCACGGCGCGGAACAGCCTGCGTCGAGTCAGTCGCGAAATACACATACCTACGTGTCGTACGCGCATGTTGATCAAAACAGCAGTCTACCACCCGCTAGCATCCTTACTACTGCCATGTTGCCTACCGTGCGTCTTGCTGACTGACCTTGTCCTTCCTCATCATCAGTCTGACGCTCCCAAAAGCAATTCACTCTTGGCAACTCTTGTCCCCCATGCCGCCGAAACCCATACCCCGCCACCCTCTCCGCGTCCTGCATGTGCATGCCACGCACACGCATCCAACAAACTTGCTTCTCCTGCGATAGGCTTCGTCATACACAATGGCGCTCACAAAAAGTACTGCCTTCAACAACCAAAGGGGCGGCCTCCATGCCAGTCTGTGCTGACATTGTTGCGGGATATTTACATCATAAGTGTGATGAGCGTGTAGATCAATGACCGCCAATGACCGCCGACAACCATGGCTGCTGAATAGCTCACACTCGCATTCGGCCCCCCGACAATGTGCACGTACACGTACTTAGATCCAGCCAATATGCTCAAATCACCCCCCGTGCAACCCCATCCATGTCCTGCTACTTTACCCTTGATCCCTCCACCAATCTACCATGTCCATGTTCACTCAAATCAATCAATCAAACAACCAATCCACATAGGCCCCATCACATAAGCAATCCATATCGTCATTCGCATATCTCATCACGTGATATACATGTTCCCAGACAATGCACCCAATGGCTCGGCATATTGTTGCCAAAGTGGTATTGACACAGTCGCTAGTATCTTGATACATCTAGTCCTTCACCCAGCAATCTTCTGCGTCTAGTGGGTAGCACCGGGGGTGGTGATGCTCTCGTCCTCCTCCTCAAACCAGTCCTCCTGGGGCAGGACCTCGCCGTCCTCGGATGAAGCGCCCTCAACCTCAACAGTCTGTGTCTCGTATGCCTTGAGCTCGCTCGCAATGTCCGTCTCCTCGGGAGATGCAGGGGCCTTGGGAATGGCAAACTTCTTGACCTGGCCCTCGGCGTCAGAGGCCTTGACTTGCGGGACCTTGTAGTTCTTGAGCTCGCGGAGGTACATGTCCTGCACCAGGTCGGCTACAACACCAATTGGGTCAGTATTGTCGGATTTTCGAGCGGCTTAGGATGAATCACCTGATCGGACGGCGGTGGGGGTGATGAAGGTGCGGCGAGCGACGTAGGCAGGTTGTTGCCGGGCGACGCGGACGAGCGCCTGGCGCTGCAGCGGATCAGTACACATCCAATTCTCACCAGTCAGAAAAGCCTACCGAGGCCCTGATGGATTGCGCAATCATTGTTGATATGTCGGGGGTGGGGAGCTGGCAATTGGAAGCTACAAGGTGAAGGTCGATGTTGGGGAAAAACCGTGGACCGCAGCTTGACCTGCCGCCCAAGGCGGTTTAGCGCGGGCGGGCTGCCAAGCCTTGCAGGCAACGGGCTGCGCGCTGGAGAGACATAAGGTTTCCATTGCCGTTCTCCGACCTTCGTTCCTCCAGCCCTCGACAACCACACTCGTTTCCTGCGTCCCTTGCCCAAGAGCAGTCTCCAAGTGTCGGTCTCGCGAGCCCGTAGCTAGAATCCAGAATACAAGCCTAGAACTTCGTGAAGAAAGAAAGAAACATGTCTTACGCACCCGACGGCCGCCTCCTGTCGCCTGGTGAGGTCTACGAAGCGGCGCCTGTGCAGGTCAAGGACGACGAGTGGCAAGAGGACCTGAATGTTGCTTTGATCTGCCCCGACTGCAAAGAGAACCCTCCCAATCTGGTGGAAGAGTTCAGCGCTGGCGATACTATCTGTGGCTCCTGTGGTCGCGTCCTTGCCGACAGAATCATCGACACCCGCTCGGAATGGAGAACCTTCTCCAACGACGGCAAGTGACGCCTTCCTACTTGCATAAGTGAGGTGCATGCTGACATTATATGCTTTCAGACCAGGGTAACGATGATCCATCACGTATTGGTGACGCTGCCAACCCGCTTCTGCACGGCTCCCAGCTTCAGACTGAGATCGGTTTCGGTGACGGCGGCATGAGGGTTCGCGATCTTTCCAGGGCTCATAACAAGAGCAACCATGACAAGGTCAACAAGGCACTGCAAGCTGCCTACGGTCAGATTACAGCGCTCTGTGACAGTCAGAACATCAGCAGGCCGACAGCCGAAACGGCCAAGATGCTTTACAAGATGACGGATGACGCGAAGCTGTTCAAGGGCAAATCACAGGATGCCATCATCGCCGGCTGTATCTTCATCGCATGCCGAAAGCACGACCAGCAGCGCAGTTTCCGCGAAATCTTCAAGATGACCAACGTGTCCAAGAAGGAAGTCGGTCGCACCTTCAAGGTCCTCGAAGCCTTTATCCAAAAATCACAGAACAGCGGGCCATCAGTCGCCGGAAATGGAGCTGTCATCGACACTGTCAACCTGCTCAACCAAAAGGGCGGTACCACTGCCACCAGCGCCGCCAGCCTCATGCCTCGTGCCTGTGCCAAGCTGGCTCTGGGCACCCAAGTCCAGATGGTGGCCGAAGAATGTGCCGACCAGGTCGCTCACTACGGTGTTGCCGCCGGTCGATCCCCTCTGTCCATTGCTGGTGCTTGTCTCTACCTGGTCTCACATCTCATGGGCCAACCCAAATCACCAAAGGAAATCGGTCTCGCCGTCGAAGTCAGCGACGGCACTATTCGTACCGCGTACAAACTCATGCATATGGAGCAGGATAAAATCATCAAGGATGAATGGATTGTAAAGGGTGGCGATCGGTCTAGGATCCCCGCTGCGTAGATTATTTTTTCTTGTTTCAATTACTACAACAGGGAACTTGGGCAGGCTGGGTATTGTACGGGTTTCACGTTTTGGGACTTTTTTTTTCTCTTACTTTTTCATTTTCCTTTCTATTATCAAACACCTGTTCTTCCTTTTCTTCTCTCATCAAAATCAACATCTCATGGCATTAAGATGGTCTGGAGTTTTATCCCCTGTTTTAGACCTGTTTTTCTTTTCTTAGTTCTTCGGTTCCCTATCTTGGGTTTCTTTTTTTTTGGTCTACCAACTTTTTTGGTTCTGCAAACTATAACGTCTGGGGGAGGGGACGGGAAGAAAGATCGAGACGGCCAATTTGCCATGAAAAAGATATGATACCCGGATAGATTGGCGGGGGGAGGTGAGGGGTAAATTCGGAAGGAGAATATTCAGATTGTGAAAAAAAAATGGGCGTTTTTGATTTTGTGCGATTATGAAGTAATGTGGGAGGGGAACTACTACTAGATAAGAAAATGAGAATGTTACTGTGGTGGACTACCAGTCAGTGTGCAAATGGTGATTAAAATGTAGTGTGATATGGTTGTTGTATACCGTGATGCTGCTGCATCTATCCCGTTCAAGTCTTCACATGCCATATCCGTTACCTCTTTCCCACTGACATGGACACTTTGATGTTTAGATACTACTGCCTATCCAACTAACACCACATCCACTGGCTATCTTCACTTTCATTTGATATCGAGCGATTTCTACTCGCTGAGAACAGACTCTGCTTCCGTTACGACAATCAAGTCCAGATACTTTGACTTGGTTGCCTTTTCAACACCTACGCCCACATTGGCTATTGTATGGAAAGACTTCCCAGACTATGATTCACCACAACATATCCTCCATGGGAAAGAAAAAATTTATCCTACGCACCAATAACTTATATTTCACCAAAGGGCAAAAGGCAAAAAAAAACAAAAAAGTGGGTGGGGAGGGGGGGGGAAAGAGTCATACAACTACACCCACTTCTTCTTTTTTTTTCCTGAAGAAAAAGATAATCTAATATGCTATATATGCTAAAGGGAAAGAAGAAAAAAAGAAACAAAGAAAGATAACAGAAAATTCAAATTCATTAACCGTATATCAATTCTAAAAAAAAAATCTCCAAATCTAACCAAATTAAGGATATTCACCAAACTAAAAAAAAAACCTCACCCAGCCTACCCTACCATTTTCCCAGAAACTTTCTTCTATAGATATATAGATATATCTCTCTATACAATAGCAATCACAACATACTTGTATAACAAACTTTACCCCCCTTGCCCCGTGACCCCAATGCATACATATACACACATATCCAACCCCAAACCACCCATTCAAACCTCCAACATCCTTCCCTTCATCCACTCGCCAAACCCTCCTTCAGCAACACTCTTACTAAACGCGACCCAAAACGCCTGTTTCTCACTCACGGGCCTCGCACACCGCTCCACCAGCGCTTTAACTTTGATATCCCGTAGGCCTTTAATCGCCATGACCTGCTCCGCCCACTCGAGATCCACGCCGCCGAAATCCCCACTGCCGCCCAGCCACTCGTTCTTCATGCGGAGCATGGTATCAAAGTCGGAGGGGTTCATGGGCGTGATGGAGTCCCAGGCTTGGTCGGGTTTTCCCGCGATCATTTGAAGTTTGAGGGTGCTGAGATGTATGCTGGATCCGCCGCCTGCGGCTAGGGTGTTGTCGGTTGCGCCGGCGAGGTAGGCGCACATGCCTGCCCATTCTGCGCGGTCGAATTCTTTGGCGTAGGGTAGGGCTTTCTTGGTTAGACTGAGGTGGCGGATTGAGGATCGGCTGAGGGGGGTGAGGTCGGAGAGGAAGGGTACGACGGCTTCGATGCTCATGTGGAAACTGAACGTGTAGGTGGAGTAGAGCATTTTGCTTGCTTCGGCGTGGATTTGCGAGTTTATGCACATGAGGGAGGGAACTGTGTAGCGGAGACGTGCGGTGTAGGGCGAGAGGAGGACGCGGTAGGTCGTTGGTGCCGTGGTTGTAAGAAACGGGCCTCGGAAAGTTGAGTTAGCAGGTGTCTCTTTTTGTCTGATAGAGCATTTAAGAGCCATCCGTGTTTTGTGTGTTGCGCCCTCAAAATCCATGGTATTTC